AGAATGCCTTAGAGTGCCATTTGTAATGAAGTGACTCGGTAAACGAGGCTAAATACATCCCACGGAAGAATAATAGCGGTGTAGACTGGAATAACCAGAAGCCAAGACTGCCATTCATTTTGAACTCTTTGCGTATTTTACCGAACATAACTGATTAGAAATTACAGTAAAAACAGATACGATTGAATGTAAATCAGTTTATAAATATCCACGTTACATTATTATATGCGTTGGGACCCATGTGTGACCGTTTCTGAATTAGCTCCTTTATATTTAATTTAGACTTAAATTCACAGCGGTTTAACTTCTGTTCCATAAACTTAGTTTTGAGACAATAGATTCATTACAGCTATGGACTTTTGTTTATGGTTTTGACATGATTGAATAAATGTATTTCAATTAGTATTATGCTTGAAACGAATCATGTTAGCGTTGTTTTAAACGACTGAATTCTTATTGTTGTAGTTGAATCGTCCCGTTATGCTTTCGGTCATAACTACATTATACCGTTTGATATATTTTGAAACGTTTACATTAAACTGACCCACTAGTAAATAGAGAGAGAGAGAGAGGGAGAGAGAGAAATGGGGTTTAACGTCCACTCGACACAAACTAGGTCATTTCGGGACTAACATATGGTTCAATTCCATTTCCATAATTCGCTTGTGCATAGGGGTCTTTAGCAGTGGGAGGAAACCAGAGGGCCCGGAAAAAAGACCCACGAGGTTGGACAGGCGATCCTACTCCTTGTCACGCACAACTGGGGAATGGAAACCATGCCAGTTGACTCAATGGCTAATTGGGTAAGGCGCTGGCTCGCTAGCCTGGAGGTCGGGTGTTCGATTCCTGCATTGGCCGAGAAAGTTCATCCAGATTTTCCGGCCTGGTTCTCCCTTGTCAGTGATGCAGGACGGAGGGCCTGACAAGGACAGCTGTCTAGTCGTTCGGATGGGACGAAAACCCGAGGTCCTGTGTACACATTGGCATGCACGTAAAAGATCCCTTGACAGTTGGAATTCGATATAAGAGTAGGCCGTAGTGCCGCTGTCCGGGCAAAATTTCTCTCATAGCACACTGTATGGCGTATGCCCGTCTTCATTAGCCCAGTTCGGAGCAGAAAAGTAGGACGTTAAACCCCATTTCATTTCATTTCTCAATGACAGACTTTATGGTACAGCGCGCACTTGCTAACCATTCAGCCCCCCCCCCCCCACCCCCCACTAGTAAATAACAATCACACAAATTTAATGATTTAATGAATCCCTAGAACTTCGCTAGTCAGGGGAGACGCGGTGGTTCAGTGAGTAAGGGCTGCCTCGGTAACCATTTAGTTATTTATTCATATGTTTATACTTATTCTTTTATTAGACCTATATAAATGAAATGAAATGATATGGGGTTTAACGTGCTATTGTTCTGCTCCGACTGGGCAAATGAACACGGGTAGACCTATAATAGGGTGGTATGAGATGAGATCACGTGGCTCAGTGATCACTAAACGGGAAGTACTGGCTTCGCTAGAGATTTTCCGGTCTGGTTTCACATTGCTAGGGGTGCAAGACGGGGGGCCTGGCACGGAACAACATCTATTCGTTCGGATGGAACGAAAACCTGAGGTCCCGTGTACACATTGGCGTAAAATGTTCATCATGCCCGTCTTCATTCGCCCATTACTAGGACGGTAAATCACATTTCATTTCGATCGCTTAGAATAACGAATTTGCACTTGCACGTTGGTGTTATTACTAAATCTTAATTTGGACTTAAAGCGAGAATTTCATATTTTCTAAGAAAGTCAAAACATAATTATTTCTATGTCTTTTGCTCAATAGGTTATCAACTCACTATTATACGATCATGGGCATTATTTCCCACCCTTAAAAATTATTGACACAGGAAATAATAACACAATTACCTCCCTTGTTTTCCTATTACCTCCATGGAATAGCTATGTTCAAACGTTTGAATTTGAAAATGATATTTTTGCCAATTTCTGAGCTGGCAATAGTGAATTATAGGATTAATAGCATTATTCTTTAACAAGGTAGGACTGTTTATCGATACCATCTATTTTAAGGCTTTATTTTAATAAATTTTAAAAATATAACTTAAAAATATGAAATTGTAGCTTTAAACAGGCATTATGTAAGAGCTAAATCTGCCAATTGCAGGTCATTCTTTAGGCCTGAAATGTTATCTAAATTATTAATTAGACATTAATTAACTTATCCAGACCATATTCACCTTTCGATGTCATCGCTAGCCTGCGATATTTAGCGGATTGGAATACATTTTTTCTTAAAATAATTGCATGTAAACATAAAAATAGATAACCGAGACTTTGTCTTTTATCGTACCGATGTTAGTAATGATGATCGAGGCTAGCCTAAAATTCAAAAGCTAATATCTCGGTTCAGAGTAGAGCAATTTGACTGAAATTTGCAGCATATCCTATTTACGTTATCTATTTTTTAAACTATTATAGCGAGAATAGTCAACTCTTTATCTAATCTCTTATAATGCCCCTTTAACTTAAAGACGTTATGCACGGGCTGTTCCTTAGTAGGGATTTGACTTTACAAAGTTGAGCGAACCATTGCTTTGATCTCACCGTTTTTAATTGATTCAAAATAGAGTTATCGACCAAATTAATGTTTGGTATTACAACGAGAACCCTTTTACACAACTCAGTGGTGCTCTAACACAGAGAGAGAGAGAGAGAGAGAGAGATGGGGTTTAACGTCCACTCGACACAAACTAGGTCATTTCGGGACTAACATATGGTTTAATTTTATTTCAATAATTCGCTTGCGCGTAGGGGTCTTTAGCAGTGGGAGGAAACCGGAGGACCCTGAGAAAACCCTACTCCTTGTCACGTACAACCGGGGATTCGAAACGAAACTATAATCATCAACAGACCAAATGTCCCCGTTGTCCTTACCGTCTCCATACTATCTTAATCCTATCTAAATATTTTCATTTTGCATAATACATGTATTTACATTTTGTTTTATTGTTCGCCATTATTTTTGTTGTAAAACAGGGAGTGGGGTGATAAGGTACAACGCCTACAGGCAAAACGTAATTTCTTTATATTCTATTATTCGTGCAAATAATTAATCGGAATGCCCGGAACCCACCGAATGTTATTATAGTTAGCGTCTTCATAGATCCCTGAGATAGGATGGCGTGGGGTGGGGGGACGGAGGGGGTTGTTGGTCTCTCTTGTGTGTTTATCGTTTACCTAACAAGAGACTGCATTGAACCAATTATGTTAAACATGTAAATTGATGGTTCCCATCGAAGTGACTTTGTCCTGAATTCGATGAAAATATTTTTGTTAAGTGGACCGAATGGCGTTGCCCTGCCAGTGTCAAATTAACAGAATTGGACCAATTAAAACTACTGTACGCCACTAATTTAAAATTATATGAGTTCACGCGATCCTTCTTTGAATATATCCAGTCTAGATGCTATTTGCTTGCTTCTTATAATACTTTTTACGTAGTTTCTGTTTCTAAATTGCGGTTAGTACATGGTAAACCATGTTCATAAAGCAACGTCGGTGAGTTTTACAACATCTAGCTTGATAAGATGTACGTAGTTAAGGCGAGATCAAGCCTTGAAGATGATGGTAAACACGATACATGTTTTTGTTTATTAGCTGTGTTACTCTGTGTTGCAGGGTAAAGTTTATCCCCATTTGTACAGCACTGATAATATCGTAAAAATTATCATTTTCCAATTCTAAATACTACACAAAATATAGAATAAATAGCACCTTACACTTCCCTGTGTCGCTGGGGTATCTTAAACTTGTGGAACTCCATCTTCAATAGAAGGCTTGATCTCCGTACATCAAGCCCTTCGCTTAATACTTCATATTTCGCCACTAATTTCGACGAGGTGCGGACCTAGCTAGAGAGCCAATCAGGTTTCTTGATCATCGCGAATACCAAGTCTAATGTGTCTACGTGTAATAATCGAGTTGGAAAGTTCAAGGTTCGTTCAATGTCGAGGACGCCATGTTTGATTGAGTGTGTTTGTGTCACACCCTCTGATTGGATGCTGCTGTTCACGTGTCTACAGTAAAGGGGCGTAACGTAGCTATAAGTTCGGAAATTGCAAAGCAATCTAGCAACGTCAAAAATGTAAAACTCGCGGTTGCTTCAGGGACATAATGGAACTCCAACGACCCAATATGGGGGCAGACAACAATTTGTAGGTCTTCTTTTTCTTTCCCTTGCTTCGGATTGTGCATGACCATTTTTGTTGATTTTTCAGCCTGGCGAATTTACATTTTCTGCCCATTTTTGGTAAATATTCACGGGTTAGATGCGGAAGGATAACAGAGTTGAGAGGTTGGTTAAGATGATATGTACAGTGGATAATAACACGGTTTTAGTATACATCAAAATTTCATTGGTCAACTTCATACAAAATTTAGTGTAAAGACATGGCCATTTGTTGCCCTGTATGTAGTTTAGGCGGTGAGCCCAACGAAAATTTGGGGATATCACTTAACCCTTTCTTCCGCGGACAAATAAGTAAATATAATTCTTTGGTATAGATTTAATTGTACTGAACCTGATACATCATTTTATGACAGCAAGTCCCACATTGCAAAGTCCTATTGACCCAGTGTTTCCTTTAAGGTTATGGGGAGTATTGTAATTGTTTATGGCAACTGGGAACTTTTATCCAACAATATTATTGGATTCAAAAAGTAGTTCCTTTTTAATTGACCAATCAAATTCATGTAAAGCGATATCCCCTCAGGAGATATCGCAGTATATTATGAAAGTTATCACACAAGCGATATCTACAGTAGAATGTATTTTTGGGTGATAGAGTTTTTTCCCATGGGCATCCTTAGAAACATGATGCGTCATGTCGAACAAGATGGTGGTAAGAGATGTTGACCGTGTAAATTCAACAAAAGAGGATGAACTCGTAATGTTGTTAATAAATGTTGACAGCGTAAACCTGGCAAGAGAAAGATGAACACGAAATATGGGTCGGTCTTTTTTTATTGCGTTCACTGTAAATTCATTATTTTAATACATGTGCATTAAAGTTTGCCATATATTGTTCGTATTTCGTTTGGCTAAAGTTGGGATCGTTCGGACATACGGGAACATAATGCACACAGCATATTGGATACTTAGCTCCTTCCACATCAAGTTTCACCATGTAGCACCCCATTCGATCACTGGTGTATTCTTTGGAGCATCTACAGATATAAACAATACGAATAGAATTGAAATGGAGTTTAACGTCCATCTCTTCTGCTTCGACTGGGCTATAGAGGACGGGCATACGCCATACAGTGTGTTGTAATGAGGGGAATTTTGCCCGGATAGCGGCGCTATGGTCTACTAATATATCGAATTAAATTGCCAAGTGTACTTTAGGTACGATTAGACAGCTGTCCTTGTCAGCCTCCCCCCTCCATCCTGCACCACTGACAAGGGGAAACCACGCCAGAAAATCCCGATGAACTTTCTCGGCCAACACCGGGATTGAACCCGCCATCTCCAGGCTAGCGAGCCAGCGTCTTACTCAATTAGTCACCGTCGCTCCCCAATACGAATAGAAACATTATTTCTTTTACAACCCTTGATAGGTAAAATAGAATAATGTGGTATACCGACAATCCAACGGCCTGTTTCACGAAATTTTAACTAAGATAAAAATCCAAATTTTAGTAATTTGATTGGATAAAATTAGATTGATTTTAGTGCTTAGCTAATCAAAATTGAAGTACCCACTAAAATTTGGATTTTATCTTTAGTTAAGATTTCGAGAAACAGGGCCCAGGTCCGTAAATAATAGTGTTACAACCTGGAGGTCCATTGTTCGATCCCCTGGTTGGTCAAGAAAGAGTAAGCATTAGCGCCGCTGCCCGGGCACAATATCCCGATAGCCCACTACACGGTTTATGCCCGTCTTTATTAGCCGGGATGAAACAGACAAGTGGGTTTTAAACCAAATAAACTTTACCAGGGGAACATACATGTACCAACAAAAAAAACTGCAGTGACCAAGGGTAAGTAGTATTGGGTGACAGAAGACTAGTGTACATGTAAGTACATCATCTATGGCTGTAGAAGATCGATGTATCGTTTGGTCTCCATGTGGGGAGCTAACGGGTATTGTTACAGTTTTGTTTTCAGTCATTCCGGAAAACTTACTTTTCACAGATAAAGCTATTCTCTTCACAGACGCAACGGGTACAGTCATCTGTAAACCATACGTCACCAGCCTCTTTACCATCTGGACAATCACCTGTCGTGAAATAAAGTAAACCGAACATCAAAATACATACATATTCCTGTCATTTACGAGCTACGGAGGCTGAAAACCGACACAAACATGTTCTTACCATATTCTTACCTCAAGGTTAGTAAGGGTATACAATGGGGAAATTAATACATCAACATTTTTTTTTCAATTTTGTTGTAAAGCATTTATTGAGTGAATATCATCGATATTTCGAGCTCGGCGACGGTCTCTTTCAGCCCCCCTCCCTCTTTTTTTTTTAGAAAACCTTGTTAACGCTATAGCCCTTGGCTATATTTCTTTCGACACAAGAGTTCCTGTATGTTTATATATTTAATTGAAAGGTTGCAGACAAAGCAAATACGCATAGTCCAAATCGTTAGACAGTATATTATCATTGCTGAAATTCAACCGTCAATATAAATGCAGACTGTCGAGTGTTCAAACGAAATGTGGGCGTATAAAATGAAAACGATATTTGAGGCTCTCTACCAGTTCATAGCAAGTGGTATGTAAACCAGCAAACATAACACAACCGATGTTGTCTGCGATATCACTTCGGTGGAAGCGGACGTAAAATAAAGCTATTTCACAAACACAGATAACCGATGCAGGGGGCGGCACTCTCTCTCTATATATATATATATATATATAGCCGATTCGCCATTTCTTTTTTTACACATGTGGAAAATATTAACAAAAAATAAAGCAATTAAAAAAGGTAGGTGCAAGCTGTCACCAATTGTGTGAATTATGTACTGGGAATTGATTTTTATTTCGTGATTTTGTTTGTACTACAGAAAAAGTTATTGATCGGTATATTAACTCTCAATTCATAAAACATATTTTATTACAAAAAAAACCAACCATATTTATAAACAAAAACAAGTGTAGATTTAGTCAGTTATGGATAAAACGAAATATATTTTCTATAGTAACTTGTGGAATGCTAGTATGAAGGAGCTATCAAAGGATTGTCAGTTTAGGCAGCACCGCGGTTTCGTCGTAATCCCGTATGTCATGCCGGAGCCTGATGTCTTCATTAGCCCAGTCGGTGCAGAAAAGTGGGACGTTAAACCCAACATATTCTACTTTAATAAACGTTTTCTTACCTTTTCTGTAAGTAACATATGTTTCAGCGGTTGACCATATAACTGCAATTAGTAAACTTAATTTAAGTAACCTTTTCATTTCAGAAATGGTACGCCTCTTTCCACTCCTGTGCGTAGCATCCACAGTATTAAGAAGTGTATATTAGGCCACGCCAATTTGAGTTACTGTTATTTGGGAACACTGTTTTGCTTCTTTCTTCGGGAAAAAACAAAAATACTTAGCTGCACTGTTCAAAAGTTTTGCGTTCCGTATATAAGTTTTGAAATTTGTACAAACCATCGTGCACAAGAATTGAGTGTGTTATGTATTGAATAAGACCTCCGAGGAACTATGCACTAAATTGGTCTGGCCTCACCATCTGAAAATCAATTTCATAACAACACAAAACATAAAATCGAAATCAGAAAATAGGTTTCTTATAACTTGGTGATAATGAATTGATTTTAGACAGTATTATTTTCTACGTCAATGTGCTCCGATATTTGCCTTTACATGTTGGTGTTTTCGTTACGCGATCGTGTGGTATTGGGGTGGTTAATGTTGGGATCGGTTATGTTGTATTATCTAGATGTTTTTGGATTCCTTTACTAATTCCTTACACCAGATTAAATACGACTCCACCTTAGTTTCACCTCTCACCAAAAGGTCAAAGTTAATTTGATTAAAGGAAATAACTCATAACAAAAGGGAATAAACTCCAATATTGTTGGAGAGACCTACATGTATATAACAACTATATGACATCCCCCCTATTAGAAAAGGGCTCCCCCGGAAACAAACTGAGGAAAAATGCATAATGAAACGGAAAACAATGGCATGCAAAAGAAACAATAAGCAAAAATATCAAATAACTATTCATACTAAAAGACAAAAATAAACATAAAGAAAATACAAAAATGATATTCAAGTAATACACAATATTTACCCAATTCAAGAAAAATTAAGGATGACTAGACGATAAGTCAATATCAATATATAAAGATACTAGGCATTGAAATACATGAATACGTAGATAAATGGACATAGTGAATATGACCTAATAAACAAAATAGAAATATAAGTATTACAAATTATTCTATAATCAAGCAAATTGATAACATATTAATTAATAATATTAATAGTATGTGGAGAAAAAAATCAAAAGAACATCTGATTATGACTTTGATCAAAGTAAAATATCTACAACCCATAAGATTACTCACAAAATTATTAGGACGTAAAAGATTGATGTAGATTACGAACAATTTATTGTTGTCATGTTGTAACCTTTACTTGATGAATAAATACATAGTAAGTGGATTATTCTCGATAAGACTTTCAGCAATATCACATAACGTCTTTTCATTTCTTACATGAATCCACTCTGAAATTGTAGGATCATTCATATCAAAATGCCCATGCTGAAACGTCCTTTCTTAATATAAATGTTTCTATTTAAATCTACATCTTGCATATAAAAATCTGTTGAAATACCCATACAAGCCAAGTTAAGATTTGCATGATTATTCTGAATTAATGAATCCATATTTAATAGACGACTGGTAAATCTATTATACAAAATAGAAGAATCGTCATATTCGGGCATGAAATTATCATTTACATCTGTAAATTGACAAATATTCTCTAGTGTCGTGTCATAGTTACTCCCTTTAAGTTAGACTTCAAGTTATCTATATGACAAAAGGTCTTAGCCGGGTTTTTTGTTCTAATGAAACATGGTTTCATTCTATTAATAATACTATCTACATCAGGAAGGAGTTTACCTTGTAATGTGGCTAATATAAAATGCGTCCTATCAAATACCTGATGTACTACGGTTGGTTCACATCAATCTCCGTGTAACTTCTTACTATTTAATGTGAGACTATAAGATAAAGTTTTAAGAACATGTACGCACATACACTGTCTTAGACTATACATAAGATTTCTACCAATTGAATGGTATTATACTATCATTTTGCAACTGTTTGCGTTTTTGTAATTCCAATACAAGATTTAAAATATTGGCAAACTTTTGCTTTAAATGCTTGAAATAGACACTAACTCCATACAATATTAGTTAAATTACGAAGATCTTTTCCAAGGGCTAGGTCATATGGACTAACATATCCTTAATGAACTGATGGGATCTTCTTCTTTCGTGGGGGTTTTACGTCCGCATCCACCTAGGGTGATTTCACAGACAAGTGTTTCTCTGGTAGAGAAGCAACATAATAGGCTTAGTCCAGCTAGGATTTGAAACGTGAGATTGGTGAGAAGGCCTATTTCATCTTGTTTCCTTAAAAAGACAAAATGCCTTTTGCAGGGTGGCGTCCAAGGTAAATAATCACTCAAAGGAGTTGCTCCGGGTACTAGAAATAAAATTATCACGAATAATTTGTCACTCGCAATGTCCAAATTGATGAAATCATAAAATTTTAAGAAATTGTCAGCCATCTTGACTTGATTTTAATCAATGACACGTGCGATGAAACCAAACTCGTTCAAAAACTTAAATACTGACATAAAACAAAAGGCATCAAGAAATCTTTAATATCCATGTCCAAAACTACACGAAAACACAAAATATCACGCTGGTGTCACACAAAAAAGATTGACACAAAAAAACTCGTCGCTGCTGTAACAAACGTTTGCAAAAAAAAATTCGTCTGCTGCTGTAGGTTAATAAACGTTGGCTAAACATAGTCGGTCTCAGAAAAATGTGCCACACATCAAAATGACAGGCACCAAAAATAGGCGAAATCACTCGCTGACGACAAGCGGCATCTCCACCTTGTGGTGCTGTGATCGGTTATGTTGTATTATCCAGATGTTCATGGGTTTCTTTACTATTTCCTTAAGCCAGACCAAAAACGACTCCATCAAAAATTTTAAAAAAATAAAGTGCAGCGAAATTAAAAAGTTTTCCAAATCTTGTGGAATCAAAGCTAACATGAAGGTGAAGCAGCAAACCCTTTTTTCCGTATCAAACTATTTAAAAATATTGTTGTTTTCATTACGCCATAGTGTGGTGTTGGCATCGGTTAATATTGTTTCATCCAGATGTTTTTGGATTTCTTTTCTAATTTCTTAAGCCAGATTAAATACGACCCCATCTTAGTTTCAACTCTCACTAAAAAGGTCAAAGGTCAATTAATTAATAAATGCAATTAACTCATAACAAAGGGGATGAACTCCGATATTGTTGGAGAGAACTACGTGTATATAACAACTATATGGCAACGGGTACAGTGTTTAGTTGTTTCGAGTTCTATAACATCTAATACAACAGCTTCATTTACAATAATCCGTTTGGGGCATTTAGTAACTGTATAAAGTAATAATAAAGTAAGGCATACTTATTCATTATTAGCAATTTTATTATTTCATCCTCGTCCTAGATTGTATCACGTGAGCGTTAATCCACCCCACCCCCTCTCCTTTTCTCTCTTTCAAAATGGGCCAGTAATGATTCAATGCTGTTTAGTATTTACAAATATGACAGTGCCGTAGGTAACATCTTTTGATGGCCCTCTTTTACAACGATTGAATCATAGCCATTGATTGGTCCTTTATTTTATTTTTTTAAATGTTGCATAATTAATCGTTGCGGGGATTAATGCATATCAGCGGCTATTCAATTTCTTTAATTCAGATATAGTCTCTCGATTTATTAAACATACAATATACATGAGCTACATCTGCCTATTGCAGGTATTTCTATAGGCCTGAAATGTTATCTAAATTATTAATTAGACATTAATTAACTTATCCAGACCATAATCAACTCTCGACGTCATCGCTAGCCTGTGATATTTACTGGATTAGGATCCGATTTGCTGCTCAACATTCATTCATGATTTAATCATGAAATGGATAATAGAGACTATGTTTTTATTTTTTGTAGTAATGATGATCGAGGCTACGCCGAAAATTCATTCACTAAATTCTCGGTTCAGAGTTGATTAATTTGACTGAAATTTTCACTATTATAGTGAGAACTGTTAACTCTTTATCTAATCTCCCATAATGTAGCTTTAAATTGGGATGATTGAACGGTAGAGCATTCTTAAATTGAATACTTTTCGAATCTGCATTATTTATTAGTTTGCCATGGAGCATTAAGCCAATGCATTTCTCTTCAGTCGCAATTCCTGGAAAGCTTGCGTTGAAGACAGCTGATAGAATTTTTGCCCGGACAGCTGCACTCCGGCCTATCCTTGTACCGAATTCCAACTGTCAAGGGTTCTTTTACGTTCACGCCAATGTATACTTGGGACCTCGGTTTTCGTTCCAGCCAATTGACTATACATTGTCCCCTGCCAGGCCCTCTATCGTGCGCCACTGACAAGGGAGAACCGCGTCAACGTCTTACTTATGGTGCTAGGTAGATAAATTTATCTTTACAAACTAAAATTTAAGTTCATAATTTCAGTGTTTACCCATCCGTTCTTCGTGACATATCTTGCGGACAATGATTACTTGTCTACATAAACTCCCGTGTAAACATTTGGCGTACACGAAAAAGATCCCTTGACAGTTGGAATTCGATATAAGAGTAGATCGTAGTGCCGCTGTCCTGGCACAAATTCCATCATAGCACACAGTATGGCGTATGTCCGTGCTCATTAGCCCAGTTCGAACAGAACAGTCGGACGTTAAACCCTTTTTCATTTCATTTCATGTCCACAGAAACAAATAACACAGGAAGGTAATGGACGTACTTGATACAAATCAATCTAACCCACGTGGAGTTATCTCCCATGGTCTACACAACGTCTTAAGTTTAGTTCACTAAATTTTAGGGGGATGGATGGCTGAATGGTTAGCGTGTGCGCACTGTATCATAAAGTCTGTCAATGAGTCAACTGGCGTGGTTTCGATTCCCCGGATGTACGTGACAAGAAGTGGGGTCGCATGTCCAACCTCGTGGGTTTTCTCCGGGTCCTCCGGTTTCCTCCCACTGTTAAAGACCCCTACGCGCAAGCGAATTATTGAAATAAAATTAAGCCATATGTCAGGAAATGGCCTAGGTTGAGTCGAGTAGACGTTAAACCCCATTTCTCTCTCACTTAAAATAGTTATTTTCTGTATGGAAACTATCACTGGTAAGCCGATACCGTTGACTTGCGAATCTGGGCCTTTTAGTAATGAAATTATTTGTCAGTTGGAATT